TTATGGCCCAGGCACAAAGATGGTCATAAATCCGAGCATAAAAAAGGGAAGGTTCTGCCAGTAAATAGACAAATAAATCAATAAGTTGATAAATAATTAATCAAATAAGTAAATTTAAAGGATAAAACAACTTTACGTGGATCTACTTTATCAACATAATAAGTGCGTTATCAAGTTTTATTATTCTGATGTCAACAAAAATACGAGCCACTGAGTCTTGTTACCCGCTGTTTCCATATCGCAAGGAACAACAACTGTTTTTCCCTTTATAATGGAATCAAGCCAGTAACTGCCACTGGTCGCTTTCCCCTCTTCGCTTGCTTTTATATCTTTACACGTTTACCCTGGAAATTCAGGAATGGAGCTAAGAGGAACTGAGGACGGAGAATAGTTTTATCAGGTTCAAATTACTTCAATGAGCGCCAGTGCTAAGGCTGCCTTTCGTTGAATCTCACCTCTTTTCTTATTATCCCTAACATAATTTCTCTCAGAATTTGGCACAAAGTTCTCTGGTCTGGCTTCCTCAGTCCTGTTGTTTAGTTCACATAGCTCTTCTGAAATGACGTTGTTGAAGTTGTGACACCTGAAATCATTGTAACATGCCTGATGGCATTCAAATGCAATCGATGATCTCATTGTCCTGAAGGTGTGTCCTCGCAGCATCATACCAGAAATGGCATGCTCATCCTCCTTGCATTGTTGAGCGAAAACTTCGTACACGTAGCACATGCACAGTACAATTACAATGCAGAATCGCATTGTCATTAGCACTGACTCGTCCTTTTCTGTAAGATAATTTCATAGGCTGACATTTGGGTGATTTGGGTGGGAGAAAGAGCTATAGTGCGAAATTTTTCAATCATGGTTGAGAATGCACTAAAATTAAAGAAAAAAAGGAGAGAAAATAGAACAATCAAAGTGGGGATGGATATTGACACTTGAGATGCAGTTTGGACGACAGCTTTGTTCGTTGTAAAACCAGCTAACTTATAGAACTTACTTGTTTATCGCACAATCCATGCTCTTTTCGTTTTTGAAACATTCATCATAACTTTTGAAGTGCGATGTATCTTTTCTTTAAAAAGTATTTCTGCACGCCTTAGGACAACAACTATCTGGAAACGTTGATTTAAGAGCACCACTACGGGATTATTTTTAACTTTTTTTTACGGTGAGCGGTTAAAATTTGTTAACTTTTACGCCTAACGGTTAAGTTTTATAGCCGTTTTACGGCCATAAAAGAGAATGTCCTCTACCCTGGCCTAGTGTCAAGCAGAAAGTTTGTTTTCGCAGATGAAGTCATTTTTTACAATCTTAAAACATATTTCAGCGGAATACGGTTGTCTTTTGTTGACATATTCATTCATCCAAGATCAATGTTTAATATATAGATTTAGCCAAGCCTAAAAGCGGAGCTCGCATTTTTTTTCCCGCACGTCCCAAGGGCACAAGGCCTTGCCCCGGCCAGGACTAGAACCTGGGTCGTCCGACTCGGAGCCCAGTGCACTGACCACTGGACCACTGGACAAAGCCGTGGCGTTGGCGTGCCCGCGGTACAGTTGACCACGCATGTTAAAAGTAGCACCTTGTACGATCGTGCGGTCGTACGGTCGTAAGTCCAAATTTTTTCGGCTTGATGGGTTACTATTACTACTACCATTTTATATAATTATGGAACTACGCGCTGCGAGCTCCGCTATAATTGACTCACAAAAATCTGTAAGAGAGAATAAACACAAAACAAAATCAAATTTAACTATCCCATCCGTTAGGAAGACGTGATGATACAATATTGGGATTTTTTAACGTTCATAAATAAAAATAAAATAAACATGGCATTTTAGAAAATCAGATAAGTTCTGCAAGCACTTTTATAGTTTAGATGCTTTAGACTTCTCTTTACATATTTTTTTATTCTTTCAAAGGAGTTATGTAAAGCTCATTAATCATTAAGCGGCTAGCACAGTCCTCAAACACTTAGATGTCTATTCACGCTTAACCAGTGTGGAGAAAATCAAAATTAAACAACGAAATTTGACACTCTGGTCATTATAGACATATCGCGTCATTTAAAGGGACACACAAACAAGTTAAAATAGGTTACAGTGTTTATATTTACAAAACAACACTCATACACTCTGAAAGAATTCTTTCAGTTTCTCCCGAGATTTAGCTCCTAGAACTCCATGAACTAACCCTCCTTTCCGCACATTTGTTTCCATCATTAATGATGGAAACAAAAACTTACCATCTCTCTTATTTCTATCTAAAAACATTACGCTATCGACATTGCTGATCCAAGCAGTACGCAGGACGCGTGTCATAGGCGCTCACCGTGGAGTCTCTGTGGTTCAGTGGTTAGAGTATCGGAGCGGGGAATCTGAAGGTCTGAGGTTCGATTCCTCATGGGGACTCAGAATTTTTTCTTCGTCCCGCGTTCGTGACAAGACGAAAAAACATCTTTCTCTATCATTAATGATGTTACGCTGTTATGGACCACAACCGGGTTTTGAGCGACAAACGCAACATTTCCGTAAGACCATCAAAATCAAGTGGACAAACCACAGTTTGATGTAATGCGTGACGTGATTGTGGAAAATTTTCCCCTTGTGATTTGACCTGTTTCACGGGTTCTACAAATCGAAACCAAAATTAGTTAGTGTAACTAGTTAGAATGGAAAGTTATTAAAATAGACTGAAGAATTCTATATTTTAATGATAATTTTTTTCGTTTTAAATCTTTACCAGATTCATGGAAAGCAAAGACTGGAGTAGCTGCGGGTATTTCAACCCTAATTTCTCTCCCGGAAAGCCGGTGTCCTTGCGGATTTGGACCCCACTAGATTTGGACCATCCAGGCCAAATGCGCGAGCGGATATGTACCCCCGGTCCAAATCCGCTAGTGGATTTGTATTCCCCCCGGTCCAAACCGGCTCGCAGATGTACCCTCCCGGTCCAAATCCGCTAGTGGATATGTACTCCCCCGGTCCAAACCGGCTCGCGGATATGTACCTCACGGTCCAAATCCGCTAGCGGATTTGGACCCCCCAACAAAACTGTGTGAAAACATTATCCTTGACGTTCTAGTAGAAATAGATATACTTTCCGTTCCAGTGCGTACTAAAGTATGTTTTTAATTCAAAACATGCGTATCGCCATGCATACGAACTGGCAGCTGGAAATGACCCGTCGGATGTTTCTTTTGACCAAAGGAAAATGCGCAAGCATTTAGTTTAATGTTTGGAGAAAGGTCGTTTTTGAACCTTTACCACGATAGTCGAACACCGCTAGATTCAATAAGAGACATACTTCTGACACTGATTTATTTTGTTATTGTTCAATGCTCGAGTGTTGGGACAACATGGTACGGTGCGAGTTGTGCGAGGAATGGTTACGCGTGAGCTGTGAGAGATGTAACAGGGCCGTAACGAGGTATATTTTTTCGTCGCTGATCCCGTATTTTTACGCAAATTTTTAATCCCTGATCCCAAAAGTGATGAAAATTTTGATCCCTGATCCCACAAAATCTAGACGCCTGATCCTTGAGCCCATGGAAAACACGCTGATCCCGATCCCGAGGGCTTTGATCCCGGATCCGAGGCTGTGATCCCTGATCCCACCCTTTTTTAGGCCTTTGATCCCTGATCCCATATACCTCGTTACGACCCTGATGTAAGGCTGCCCCTGCATTCGTCTGCAGACCGCCAGACCTTAGACGTCTTCGTAATTGTTAAGGTGTTATTTCGGATCCCTCAACAGTTAATAATCGTTAAAATTAGAAAATAAGATTGAGTTCGATGTAATAGTCTCCACTTTTGTTAAAACGTAGACATTAATGTTGATTTGCATCCGAAAATAAGCTGAGAGTTCCAATAGTTCAGAATAGAAACATTTTTATTTATGTTAGGTTTTACGAACGACTTGCAGCAGGAGTAGTTACTTCGTTCTTGTTCAGAAACTGTTTAATGTTATTTAAGCACAAAGTTATTTTTGTGACTGGACGCAATAGTCTCCACTATTGTTATGACGTTTCGTATCAATGTTGATTCGCATCAGAAGAAGCAAAGATTTATTGTAATAATTTCAATAATTCGAATGCAGTAGTTTGTTCACATCTAATTCTTACTTATACTGTACGACTCGCTCTAATAAATGCGGCAGAATTAGAATGAAATGGCTGTTTTCTTTACCTTTATTGAGAAATATTGTGTTGTGATTGAAAAGAACATCGACAAAAAGCTTGCAAATAGAATTAGTCACCAAATATGATACGAACGATTCTTAAAAGGAAAGTTTGGTAGGGGGGTCCAAACCGCTGTGACACCGGGTCGTATTACAGACCAATTTTTCTTTTTTAAAAAATCGGCTGGAAAATCAATTTGCTTCAGACCGGAAATGAAAATAGATTGAGCTCATAAGGTCGCATTTCAACAAGTGAAATGCAAGTGTCAATCACACGGGGGAAATTTCAGCAGTGAAATTGTGTTCAGTCACGACACTTGCCATACGGCCGAACAAGGTAACAGTAACTCTCAGGTTTTCTTTGTTCGGCGCCCACAACAGGCCAAATTGGGGATGTGTTGCCCAGGTCCTGAAGGAAGGAATACTGCTCACTTCTCGTCATTTAATGGCCGTAATAAGGAAAGGGAGAATCTCGCTTGTCCATGCTGTAGCTTCGAACCGCACGCGATGAAAACGTTAGTGTGAATGATGAAACTTCGCGCTCTTTTCCACGTTCGTGACTTTGCCGTCAATATTGGGAGTCATTACTTTCAACTGTTGACAGCTTTGGCGGCGGGCTCCTTTGGTTTTTCGATATTTGGAAAAATAGGTCAGCCCCATCCAAGCACACCGGTGTCTTTGATGTTTTTTCCCGATTTGGGAATTTTTGAGAAATCACAAATGTGGGTTCGCATTCGAAAACTGATGCGTTGACAGATTTTAGTCCCTGGAGTAAACAATTTTCTGCAAAATTGTCTGTAATGCGACCCAGCCCTTAATCGCGTGATATTTGAGAGGCCTGAAATATTTTGCGGAGGAAGTTTTTCCTCCTCAGAATTAAGGAATGTGCGAGCGGTTAGATTGTCCACAGTCTGTCTTTGGTTTTTGTTTGTTCGCAGCAGTTGTTTTTCATTTTACTGAGAGGTAAGAATTATGTTCAATATAGATAAGAATTTCGCTCACTTGTAAAGTGTAGCCCCGCTAAACTTCTGCAACGCGAACAAAGATAATTCAGCGAAGAACTCACTCTCCGCTCGATCGAACTGAAGTCATTTCCCCTGAAGTGCTTCTGCCGTCGTTTCTGTCAGTTCACTCAAACTCTCTGATATCTTCAATAATCGCTGGTTTCCCTTTGTATTTTAAGTTTGTGGGTTTCTGATCTATTATAATTACAACTTTACCGACGCTTGTCAAACGCAGAACACAACGATTTTAATAAAGTAAAACAAAGGCGCGTTCAGTCCGCCTTCTGCAACAGACGAGTTGAAGTTAAACACTCTTAGGAAAAGGGAAAAGGAAAACAGTGATTGTAGGTTAAGATGGCCTTAACGGGAACTTTTGAAAGAAGATTGTGGTGGGAATGGAAAGAATAAGGGTACAAACTGTTTCTGATCGTTCTGACGTCAATCAGCTCTGATCGTTAATCATTCTGTCTGGTTGTTGTTCAACGTCGATTAGTTTTCAGTTTTTCACGTTAAGCAATGGACGTGTTTGAACGGATGACAAAATACTCGCTTTATTCCACGGATTGTACTTGATTTTATCTGACAGAAGTTAAGTCAAGTTTTGACCTGGATTTGGACAGAAGATGAACTTTATATGAATCAATAAAAGTCATAAACCAGACCTCTAATGGTCCTTGAACAAATAATGTAAGACATTCTGTCATCATTTGTGACATAAGACTGGTCAAGACTAGAAAAATTGAAAATTTAGTTAGAGAATTTGGTCTCTTACTTTCATGTGAAATGTCTCAAATGCACGGACGTGAAAAAATTTAGATATTATTTGTCATGTGTGAAAAGGCCAAATATTTTTATGTTACTGAGTTTAACAAAGGGGTAGAGGCTGGGTAAACTCTGACATTGAAAAGATACAATTCAAATCCTTGGAAACCTTTGAGCTCAGTTATTTGTGATTCATTGAAATCATTCTCAGTAAGATGTATAAGTAACCACATCATACTTGTAATGTGCATTTCAAGCCAGAAAATTTTAATTCCAGTATTTGGCCAGTTGTCTCTTGTTTGCAAAAAGAACAAAAACTTTCCTGCACACATTCAATAATTTTGATTATTACACACAAGACTTGTAATGAAAAAGCTGATTGGTCAAGAGCATTCAATCAATATACAATAGTGTATAATTTATCTTCTTGAGATCAATTTCTGCCTAGTTTCCAGGGCCTTTTGGTGTAGTATTCTCAAACTTTTGCAAACTCAGAGAGAAGCTCAAAATAGGAGAGTGCCTCTTGAAAATGTATAATTAAACAATTATTGAATTCAGTTTTTTACATCATGCTCAACCTCACCCAATTGCTTATTACCCTAGTGTTAAGACCATGGATAGATTCATGGCTCTGCCATGGTTGTTCACAGGACTTCCTGTTGTCCAATGCTGTTTTTAATAATACTCTTGATTATCAAATCAAGCGAGTGTGATTAATTAATCAAAACTATGACAGAATTTGAGAAGAAACTAGACATCAGTTATACATTTTCATAAAAAACAACAACAACAACAATTAACAGAGACAACAACATGTGCACATGACATGTGTTTTCCACAGGCATGACATGATAATTGTCCCTCTAACTGTCCTATTACACTGTCCAGTTACAAGCATGGCGCCTACACTGTACTATTAGTTCTCAAACTGGGCTGGAGATAACCAGTCATGTTGAATAATTTTGTCATAGTTTTGATTAACAGATGAAAAGTAATATTTTCAGATGAAAGCTTTTCTTCTTCCACATTTTTTAATTCTGATATTTGCAAATTATTAAGGTCCTGCAAAATAAATAAGGATTTTTGTTTTTTTTTTTGCACCGCGATGAGGTAGCCTACATTTAAGATCCATGGTTTCAAATTGTGGTTTTTTTTTTTTTGCAAGTCAATCCTGAGTTTTTCTTTAACCAGTACTTGTTAGTTTGAAAAAGCAACCAATGCATTCAGTACATATTTGGGGACATGAATTATTTTGTTCTTAGGTAAACACTCTCATTCCCTTGACCCTTTCACTCCTAAGATCTCTTTAGTAATTCTCCTTACTGTTTGCCATACCATTCTTATGATGTAAGTTTGGAGAATTTGGTATTGGATCAACCAATAATCCTCTGACTGATATTTACCTTTACTCATATCACTTACTTGCTTGATGTTGAATTGATATTTTGTAAGGAGAATTCCTGTCTTGGTCACTCATGCAAGTTGAAGGGTTAAATAACTGTTAGGAGTTTTGAAATTGGTTTATGACTGCAGTTGTAAAATTTTTGACTTGAATTAATTTTGCTGCAAATTAAATACTTAAGAAGCCAGGCACAATTTATAAAGTTTTGGAGACAGTCCTTGATGGATTTGCAAATTAATGATGGATCTTAATTTATTTTACAGTAAACTCCCTGTTAATGGACACTCTCATAAGCAGACAGCTCTATTTACGGTTACGTTTTCAATTCCCCATTTTCCTGCCTAGTCAAACTCTGTATTTACACATTCCTGTAAGTGGACTACGCACTCTCTCGCAAATGGAAGCAGACACTTTTAAAAGCAAAAATCAGATTTTGCTCTTTTTTTTGCACTCTCTTGTAATTGGACACCCCAAGTATGATAATTGACTTTTGGGAATGAAAATTGTCTGTAATTTGCAAATCCACAAAAATATGACCTTTAACCGAGCAACAGAAGAGTGGGGATTGGTTTAGTCAAATCTCTATTTGTTCATGGGAAAGCAAGCTGTTAGTTCATTTCACATTAACAAGAATCAGACATAACATTTGTAGTGTCAAGTTAAAGCCATGTTCATTATGGTCCACTTTCCTTCTTGTTCCCCCATAAGTGGACAACCACCCTTCTATTTCTTTGGTGTCCACTTATGGGAATGATTCTTGAGGGTGGACAGCACCACTAACAGACACTTTTACCTATTCCAGAGGGAGTTCTTTTAGGAGATAGTTGACTGAACCAATTGTGTTCTTTATCACTATCCTCAGTTAATTGATATATACTTTTCCTTTTCAAATTCCCTTCTTGGTTAAGCTTTTATTGATAAACATGAATAAAAAATTACAACCAGTTTTCTTTACTCTGTAATTTTGTTTATTTCATCAACAACATTCAATACATAACATAATGAGTACAGCAACTATGGGTGATTTGGATGATATTTCATGCAAAACATGTCTTCAATTAAAAATTGTAGTCTTAAAAGCATCATGCTGCCAGACAAACTCTGTAAAAAAAACAAAACAAAACAAAGAGATCTCATTCTGATTATTTTTGTATCTAAACAGTGAATATGTCAGTGAGAAGGACTTATCCAATCAGTCTCTATTAAATGACTAGGACCATATTCTGATGAATTCACTCTGTTAATTGCAAGTAAAAATGCCTTACAGAGGATAAAATCAAATAACAGGTTTGACAATTAGCAATTTGATCTGAATATCTACAGCTTAGAAATAATTCCTGTTTTGGTTTATTTACAACTGTCTTTGGTTATCACATCAAAACAAAACCAACCATAGATTTGCACTAATGATTTCTTTCTTGCTGGATATTAATTCTGACATAAAATTAGTTCATATGTTTTTGGAAAAGCAGCTTGGAGAACTCAGTATACTTAAATTCAAATATCTTTCTTGTTCATAATTGCCTTTTGGTTAACTAGCAAGTATAACTCAAGCAGTTGTTTATGAACACAAAAAATTATACAAAGAGATTTAAGTTGAAATGTTTCTGATGAAAATAAATAACTCAAGAGCCTTTACACATAAGCATCCTTTACTCAAAATGTTTAAAAGAACACTGAAAAGTTGATGGCTTCCAAAGATAATGTACTACGAGGAATAAATCATTACCTTGGTTCAGTAGATGTTAAATTATAAACCTCACTTTTGCCATTTTTGGTTCAATGGTTATTATAAATGCCACAAGAAAGTTAGTTGACAAGTTACTCCCCTTTAATGACAGCTTGTTCATTTTTCATTCTGACAGTCACATTTCGGAGACATGGATTCCCATATTTCTAAAGAAAAGCTGAGATGTAAGATTGTAACAACTTATGGAAGAAAGAAATTAGATCTGTCAGAGTGGGATTTGCTTGAGTTGCCTGCAGCTGTGCTGGAATTAACTGAGTTGGAGGAACTTGACCTGTCAGGGAATAAACTTAAAACAATACCTGAAAATCTTGGAAAACTAAATAATATTACAGTGCTTCGTGTAAGTGGAAACCAGCTGTCCATATTCCCTGCAAGTTTGACACAGCTGAAGAAACTCGAATGGCTGGACATCTCACATAACAAACTAACCACCATCCATGATGATGTTCGTGAGATGGTGGGACTGTGGGGACTGGATCTGAGTTCCAACCAGTTGACTGTGTTAAGTCCAGCTATAAAACAGCTGAAGAAACTCAAACGGCTGCGCATCTCACATAACAAACTAACCACCATTCCTGACGCTATTGGTGAGATGGTGGAGCTGGAGGTACTGGGTCTGAGTTACAACCAGTTGACTGAGTTAAGTCCAGCTATAAAACAGCTGAAAAAACTCAAACAGCTGAGCATCTCACATAACAAACTAACCACCATCCCTGATGCTATTGGTGAGGTGGTGGCACTGGAGGTACTGGGTCTGAGTTACAACCAGTTGACTGAATTGAGTCCTGCGATAACACAGCTGAAAAAACTCAAATGGCTGGATATCTCACACAACAAACTTACCATCATCTCTGACGCTGTTTGTGAGATGGTGGAACTGTGGGGACTGAATCTGAGTTACAACCAGTTGACTGTGTTA